GTATTTGGGATGCCTTCCCTTGCTCCGCCTCTATGTTTCTCTCCAGTCACCACTACGTACAGACATAACTTCTGATGCTGCAGCTTTAGGTTGAACCGTTATGCTAGGGTTTTTTGTAGTGAGCGTTGTACTAGTATGGGCACATTCCGCTCACTGTGTGGACGTCACTCATTCCGGATGGGGCTCATGACCTTCCACCATATTATATCTATTGCCTTCAAGGTAGAGTCTTGCGCTACATCATCAGATCGATCATATGTCTGCGTTCAGGCTGACGCCTATTATCAGTTCATTCCATCCAGCCATTCCAGTGAGCCATTCCAACTGGACCGCTTCACCGGCTCGGGTATAAATATTTACCACCCACTCTTGGGAGTAAGTGCCGCAAACTGAGGCTCCGAGCCAATCTTCGCTCCCCAGCGGACTCTGTTACGATCCTCTTCAGCGAGAATGCTAACCATAAGAGCAGCAGCACCGGCAAGCAAGCGAATCAGGTCGTCGCACAAATCACCTAGGAGACACAGTACAGGCCAATAAGCGACTGGCTGCATCGTCTGCGACGATGACTCGTTGATGATTCTGCCCACAGAATTTGCCATGCTCAGCTAGGGAGGGTTTCACATTGTTATTCGCTATTCACCTTTGTCGGCTTCAAGGCTGCCGTGAGACTAATGTTTTGATATTGGCCTGAAATAGTGAGCACCTCACCTAGCATGGGTAAAAATTTTGATGGACTGCTTGAATTGTTTTAGTCAAGGTGTCCGTAGAGAAAGTCACAATTCGTCGTTGTTTTACAGCTGGACTCAAATGCTAACAATTGGTCATATAATGCAGTCCACATAAGATAACTATTCGTGATGGTGCTCATATTTGCAATAATTCGACACTCCTTTTCTCACACTGTACTAATTGTTATTGTTAATTGCTACACTATTAATCCATTAAGTGGGGTTACTCGGGAAGCTGGATGCTGAGGAGGTGATTATGGTTTTTCTGGGTTGAGGGCCAATTATAGAGCCGCTATCCCTGAATACAGGAAAATAGCACTATTCTGAGAAAGGGAGCGCCTTTGGCGTCGCATCAAGGTCTTACACTTCCTGCAAACGCCTTCGCGCCTCTGCTGCCCGCCTCCAATGTGTGCCGGCCCTTCGCCCTTAGAGTCTAACCGTTCACAGAGAGGCATTGTAGAGCGCAAATTGATGTCACAGCATCGATGGGGCCCGTCTATCGCGGAAATCAACGTAACCGGATGGTCATTCAGGACGAGATGTGAATTTCTGTGTGCATTTTGGAACGCTGGTTTCGAATCTGCTTTCCAAATCTGCTAAACGACTACTTTCGGAACGATTTTATGAAGGTCTTCTCCCCGCAACGTTAGGCAGAGATGCCAGAGAGTTGTGCAGCAGTGGCGCAGTTGGTAGGGAGCGAGACTCCGCCATCAGCTGCGCCACTGCTAAGGTCAATGTAGGCAGTTGGTCACGGGATCAATCTTTTAGAGTATTTTTTGCTGCAAATTTTAGCAATGTGTTCGAAAAGACTTTTAGACTTCTTAGTTCATCGATGGTTGCATACACATGCCTGTGTAACGAGCCTTCGAGCGACTGCTACACGTCTCTACCCATAAGTGTTCATAGTGCCCATAGCGCACTCATCAGTGGTTCTTGCCCTACACCAGTCTGATATTCGTGATCAGGAGATGGATATGACCCAGGAACTCGTTTTTCAGCTAAATCTGAGCTTGTGACCTCATTCCGCCAGGGAGAGAAGGGTTTTCCTTTCCAACGAGCACCCGAAGGGATAACCGAACACGACATTTCTTTTCGATTGAATTTCGCCTCGCAGTCGTCAAAAGTATAAAACGCAGAAGACGAAGGGGAAGATTGCTTGCGCGACACAGATGCATGATTACGCTCATTTCCGGATAAGACAGTTGATAGTTGACGTCGTTATCTAATGGATATTTTTCGTGTGTACATGCTTGGCGGTGTATTCCGTTGTTGCTTGCTTTTATCCCACTTCCAAAACTATTAGAATGTAACATGGGCTTCTGAAAATTGATGCCGTTTCAACAAAAAAAGCTTTGGTGACCCGAGCGATGATGGGTGATGGATGAGTGCTCAACTTTTCAAAATTAGGTTTTGTAATTTGGTCAGAAATTTGTCTCAAGGGGTAGTTTTACTTCCTGATTACGAATATCGCCACTCGTTTTGTGCGAAAATCATCTGAACGTTGAGGACGCCACGAGCTGTCATGATGAACAGTCGTTGAACTTGTCAGTAACTGCTCACAAGTCCTTCGTGCAGGTAAGCTCAGGCAAATGCTGTTTGAGAATGCTGTTTGAGTTTCTCCAGCTATACTGTTCACAAAAGCGAAAGATGAACACTAAATAGATCCGGCGACGTCTCGCCTGTGGGCCGCGACCACTGCTAGGCTATTTCTGCTTCACAACTCGGTTTAAGAAATCGCTTAGCAGATTTGGAGGATAGATTTGAGATCAGCGTTAAAAGGCACATCCAGCGGTGTACATTTCTTCTCGAATAGCCATGGGGACATGAAATTCTCTCTATGGTCATTTTCCGATACGAATCATGTGGCAAATTGGTCTTTTTGATTCTCTTCCATCGGCAACATGGCCTCCGATATTTACTAAAATTTTACATGAAATTTTGTGTTAAATTTGGATTCTAATTAGGTTCAAACAAACTTTCTCTCATTTGAATGTCTCCTTATTTTGGCATTTTTAGAGATTGTACATCCCGCCAATCATACAACAGCTCAAAGCGAGGGCAAATGTAATGGTAAGTTTCAAGTAGTGTCTGTATTCGGTAAAATTCCTGCCCTTTTTGGAACTCTTATTGGAAAGGAAGACGTCGTTATTTGGGCGTTCCAGTTTATTGCCATGTAAATAAC